TGTGGTCCAGGGTCACATACTGTATGTCACTAATCAAAAATGCCTTTTTTAGACTTGATTTAATTTGGTATGTGTTTAAATCACACCTAATACTCACTCCTAACACACATAATACTTCAATGCACTTAGTCATGTAAATGTCATTCCAAACATCAAAATAATACAACAAGCAAGTTATATGGGTAACTGTCAAACTGGTTGCATCACGGCCTAAAAATGATAAAAAAAGCTTTAAAGAATGTGAATACTCAACGTACAAAGTGGTTAAACCTGTATTCCTTTTACAGGTGTGGCTGAAGTTTCAGGATGAGAGAAAATCCAATATCATGAGTCAGCAGAAACAAACATAAAGACTGAAACTACCACATTATCAGCCTTTATCATTATCAGCCATCGGAAACATCTGTCTTTGGATCTCCTGCAGTGGAAGACGTCACCTAGACGTCAGGCTGTAATCCAGTGCAGAGGGGTCAGTGTAAAGCAGCTGACATCACTCGATTCTCAGGACCCGACAGCCTTACTCATTTCCACTCATACTCGAGTCCAGTCTTCTAACGGGGTTATTTTTAGTGCGCCGTGATTCACTTGTATGTGCAGTTGGGAGAATTCAGGCTTACGAGGAATATGCCGTCAGAAAGAGATTATTAGAGATTAATAGGGCAGAAGTTCAGCTCTTCATTTAGGATGAAGCAAAATGAACGTTTTTCAGCCCTGATCAAAGGTCTTTCATTTAGTCGATGTTAACAGCTTCAGCCTAAATGACATTCTTGGACAGATTGGCAGAAATGGAGCTCAGTGACTCTAATAAGATGATGTAATGGATTTACACAGCAATACAAGACTATGTTGATTCTCAATCCTCTATGATTAGCCTTGGGACCAGGCTGGTCAATGTAAACTCGTAATTAAAACATTCATCACTTACAAAAGCATGCAGCCCTAGATAAAAGACGGCTGATGTAAGCAGCCACAGCCTACATAAATGCAAAGAACTACTGTATTTTAGACACAAGTGTTTGCTGTATTATGGCACCTATCAGTGAAATCTCTGAGGATTCTGACAGCCCCAGGCACATTAGCACTCCTTGGACAAGCACAGATGTTGTTTTGGCGTTTGAGAGAACTGAAGCATCACTGCATGGGCTTTAACGGCTCTGAGGACAGATGATGACAGCCGCGCTTTAAATGGTGAAAACAGCCAGATGCATATTCGTCTCACCACAACTCAGGACTGTGAGTGTGAAATGGTGGTGAAAGTGGTATACTGAACTAGTATTTGATTGTTCTAATAACTATTAAAAACTATAATCAGTCATAAACAAACAAGGGAGAACCTACTGTAGCATATACCATAAGATTCTGGTTTCTTACATTTAATTTTGTAAAAAAAAAAAATTAAGACATGCTATGACAATTAAAATAAAATAAAATAAAATAAAAAAATAAAATAAAAAAATACTTGGGCTGGCCATCCTTTCAGGTTGTTTCCCTGCCTATGGCCTGAGAAGCTAGGGTAGGTTCCAATTAATTAATTAATGTAACACATTACTAAAATAATATAGTAAATATTTCTTACATTTAATCTTGTACAAAAAAAACAGAAGGTTTTATGATTTTGATGTTTTTTTTATTAAGACATATTATGACAAATAAAATAAAATAAATAAAATATTAAACAAATAAATAATAAAATAAAATAACTTACGATGGACTGGCCATCCTTTCAGGTTGTTTCCCTGCCTATATGGCCTGAGAAGCTAGGATAGGTTCCAGTATTCCTGCGACCCTACATAGGACATACAGTTTGGAGAATTGATGGGTGGGGAAAAAAATTTAATAAAATATTTTAAAAATATACAAAATTAAAAATAAAAATTAAATAATATAGTATTAAATTTAAAAAAAATCACTAGATCCCACCGTGGCTCACAGATATCTACATAATGTCAGCCTTCCATATATTTTCTTTCAGGCATAGCTGACATCTCTTCATGTTTGATACTGCCATTCCCCTTCCCTCCCATTCCCAATTTTCCTATAATTAGACCCACATCATAAAAAGTTTCCTCCTTTGGCCTAAACTAGAGCAACTGGAAATACAGTCATGTCATTCATTTAACACACACATGCTACAAATAGACTCCAATAACAGAGCAGGAGTTATTGGCAGGTCAGGAGTGAACACTTGAAAGCAGAGCAATGGCATGAGACAGAACCTTTGACACAAATCCATTCCACATTCTTTACACACTCTCTCTCTGTAACGTGATCGTTTCATGCCTTGAGCAACGCGACTGTCAGTGTGCCATGACATGATGTCACTAATATCCAAAAGTAAAAGATGATTTTTTTTTTGTATAATACACATAATTCTCTGTGTCATTTCATCTAATGATAATAATGATGGATGCAAATATTGAGTTGTGGTGACCCAGAACTGAAATTATTATATTTTCAGGTGAGGCTAACATTAAAACTAGCCATGATATTTTAAAGGGGTCATGTGATGTTGCTAAAAAGAACATTATTTTATGTATTTGGTGTAATGAAATGTGTTTATGCGGTTTAAGGTTCAAAAAACACATTATTTTCCACATACTGTACATTATTGTTTCCCCTCTATGCCCCGCCTTTCTAAACCGCATCGATTTTTACAAAGCTCATCGCTCTGAAAAGCGAGGTGTGCTGTGATTGGCCAGCTATCTAGTGCATTGTGATTGGCCTAATCCCTCAAGCGTGTGACGGAAATGTTACGCCCCTACCATACTGTGATGCCCTGTCCGGCCATAGAGACAACAACATTAAAACCCATTATAAACTAGGCATTTGTTGCATCCAGTGGGGACATAATTATGGATTATAATGACTTATACTGTCTTTTTGCGCATTGCGTTGCATCACAACGCGTAAACATAAAACCATGTCTGCATTTGTGATCAGAGAAATTACAAACAACAAGCGCTACTCTACACTGCTCAAAAAACTCGCGTTTGAATCGTCAGTGGCAAATCCTTTAAATATAAAAACTGTACTTACAGTCGATGAGTCAGAACAGCCGGCATTGTAGTTTACTCTACCAGGATCAGGAAACAGTTCTCCATAAAATGTGCTGCACACATCTGAATATTTGGGTTGAACTGTTCTGGAACAGTGTTGTAAATACAACTTAACCACTGATTTCTAGTCGTGTCCTCTTTTGGAAGGCCAAACAAAGTAGTTTCGCTTTCACAACGAAACACACAGCGTCACACACGGCGGCCTTGAGTGAGCAGAGGCCAGGGGCTAGAGTGAGCGGCGGCCGGCGGATTCGACAAAGGAGCGGCCGGTGGGCTTGCGGCAACCACATGTGGCGACCCCGGGCTGGTTCACTTCGTCCACAGTGAAAGCCGATCCGGCGATCCACAGTGCGAAGTTGATGTATTTCCTCAGCGACCAGCACCGATCAGCTCTAGGCATGACGAAGCGGATATCATCCTCTTTTGGAAGGCCAAACAAAGTAGCTTCGCTTTCACAATGAAACACAGTGTCTCCACGGCATGGCGGCGGCGGCGGATTCGACAAAGGAGGCTTGCGGCAACCACATGTGACGACCCCGGGCTGGACTC